AAAATTGGATCATGGACCTAGATGTCAAACGTGTGACGTAATTCTTGACGTGACGCTCGAGCCATCTCGTGCTTTATATATAGCAAAGATTTCAACTTAACGGTATGACACCTAGAAAATGCAGTAGGAGTTTATCTTTGTAAAAAGGTAAGTTTGGACAAGCTATTCTCATATTTTTGGCATGTTTCTTTTAAAAACAATCCATAGGTCTGTTATATTATATAATCTAATCCAATATATGCTATTGTATGCTTACTAGGGTGTATAATCCTTCTGGTGAAAGTCCTGTACAAAAAATATTTTTAGGGTCTTAATTTCATAACTTTCTCAACCAGACGATAGTCAACCTCAAAAAAGGAAATTTTTTTACTCCTTTTATGTGTACGGAGAAAAGTTTCGAAATTGAAGGTAGACCATTACGTGACCATTTCGGTTATGGACAGTGATATATGAGTGTTGAGAAAAAATCCTGTCATTTTTTTTCTCTTACATTCATATGGTTATTTTGAATCCAAAAAATACTCTAAATAGATTGTTCATCCGATTAAATATATGATATAAATCTAATTGAAGATCACATTAAGTATAAATTAAACATTATAACAGAGGAAATTTATTAATTAAATCTATAAAATTATATTTAATTAATCTATTTTTATCATTAAGTAAGTAGATAGGGTAACTTACATTTTCAATAAATCGACCAAACACTTTAGGTATTTGCAAGTAGTAGTAAATCATATTTCCAGATGTGATCCCATAATAAAAAACAACAAAGAGGACTGGCTAGAATTACTCACATCAATACATTGTTAAATTTTTATATTAATTAATAATTTTAATGGTATTAATATCACTTTTTAAATATAATAAATTGGTCATTTTTTATTCTTAAATTTTAATTATTAACTAAAATGATATAATTATGCTTTTAGGTTTAATAGTCATACATTTTATGCTTTAGGTATTTCTATTATTTTAAAATTGTAATCATGAACTAAAAAACATAATTATGTAATAACATTAATTAATAAATAAAAATAAATCGAAATGTTAATTGTTTGTAATTGTTAAGGGAAAACATAAGGTCATACGCTTTCATTGTCTACCCTACACTTTAGATAGCCAAATTAGTAGTATTGCCACTCAGAATTGAAATAACTTATTAAAAAGGTGAGCAGCTATAATTATTTTAATTAGTAAAACATTGAGTTTTGTTCAAGTTTCAATGTTTATTTGTAATTTACAATATAATGATAATTGAAAATTGAATTTATTAAAGTTGGTTATGAGCAATTAGTTAAAAAATTGGGTATTCTTTTGTTTTAAATTGAATTCGACTAATTTTTCATATACTACTGAAAGTGCAAAAATCAGATGAACACTTAAAATTTTCTCTTTAAAATTAATGTGTTATTTTTTCTATTATATTGTTTTGAAAAGCATAGTGTATTGCATCATATCATACATGAAACGATTCAACCACAAAGACCTGATATACTATATCTCATAGGAATTCCCATAAGTGTCGTAATTATCATAGGGTGGGGCTTTCACCAAATTTCTCTATGATTTTATTGATTACATATACTTCGTTGATTTTTTTTTCTCCCATCAATATAAAGTTTTAGTTGTATGTGAATTTGGATCTAACTTGCTTAAGTGTGAAGTAAATTTATAACGCTTTATTTGTGTGTCGATAGAGAGAGTAGGTTCTAGAGAAAGAGCTGAATTTTCCTTTTTTCAAAGAGAAAGATAGGGTTTAAGAGAAAAAGAGAGAGGGATGCAAATATGGTTAGGTTTTCTCTATGATTTCATTCCTATGGTTTCTTAGCTTTGTATTTCACTTGGCTAATGCCTTACGACCATATTTTAGGGCAGCCTACTGTGTTATATCCAAATAGGAAATGCCATAAATGATTGATTTGTTTTGGCTATATGTGTGATATCAACTTGCATTGAAATTTATATGCCTATTTCTGTAAATCATTATTATGCTCGACGATGTCTCTTTTCGATATTAGATTGTTATTTTTGGGGGTGGTTTTTCTTGGACATACACAATATGTTTGATTTTGTTTTTCTTGCAAGCATGCAAACAGAAGCAAAGCTTAAAATTTTATTTCAATGTTCTCTCTCCCATATGGAATTCCCTAGTTATCAAAAATTGACTATGATGCTCTCCCAACATATTACCAAATAAATAATGCTCTTAGTGTTTGATTTCCCTAGGGCAGTTATGAAACTTCACTTTGCATAGAAACCTTAGATAGAGAAAGAGAGAGAGAGAGAGAGGAATAGAGCAAGAGAGGACTGAAAGAATATCCGTTGTTCGATTTGTTGGGCTTTCACCCATTGGAGAGAGAATAAAAGAAAGAAAATATAGAAAGAGAGAAAGAGGATCCCATAAGAGAGCGAGAGAGAGGGAAAGAGCTTTCAAAATTCGCTGTACGTATACTTAGTAGGTCACATTGAGAATTTCAATTTTGCATTATAACATATTTTTATTTTTATTACTAATAAAAATAACATGTGGATTGAACGTGCACCACACGATATGTTGCTAGAAGAAAGAATAAAATGAATGTGTGAGTCTTTTAATTTAGTATTGAGTGCGTATACTTTGCTCCCTCAGGAGCATGCTATACATTTACTCCCTCAGGCAGAATAATTACTTCGAAGATTGTTTTTTATTTGAAGTTTTGGGATCCGTCTAATTATAACAAGATGATTGTTTCAAAGAAAAATTTGGATTTTGAGTTCTTGAACATCTAGATCATTCCCTCCGAAAATTGGACGGTTTCAGTGCAATCTGTGATGCCTTTTTTTATTTTTATTTTTTACGCGTATAAAGAATGAGAGTTAATTTTTTTTCTCTTTTAGGTTGGCTGCGGAGTTCTCAGTATTGGAAAAACCGGCCTATCTAACCGCTAACAGGCCGGTTACTCGGAATAGGCCAGCGACGATTCCCCTTTTGGCCGGTTTTGGTGGTCACCCAGTATTTTAAACTTTAAATAGAATAATACTTCATATTCATATCAAATACATGAGAATGGCTTATTGGTAAGCTTTGAGGATTGGTTTTTATATGAATCGGGGATCAAATCCCACTACCAGCGTTGTTTTCTTTTTAAAAAACCGTGAATTGGTTTATAAACCATATGCATTGTTTTCTTTTAAAAAATCATGTACTACTTAGTTGATCACCATTTACTACTTAGTTGATAAAAATAAGAGTTTATGTTACATATAACATAGTTTTTTTTTATTTTTTATTTTTAAAATAGTATTTTCGTAAAAAAAAAAATCACTTTCTTTAAGAAAAAAAGATAAAAAAATATCATTTTCTTTAAAAAAGAAAGATCATTTTTTTTGAAAAAAAAAGAGTTGGTCAAGTTGATTTTTTTAACACTATTTTAATATTCTTTACATTATGATAAAGATTAAAAAATATTTTGGTTATTGATATTCACTTTTATATTTCATATCTTTTCATAATATTTTTAAAATACCCCTAGGCACAAATCTACTCGTTAAAATCAATTTTTTCATTAATTTTCAACTTCATTTGAGTGTATTTTGTTTTAATCATATTCTTTATATGTTTTTCATATTTTAGTTGATTTTTTTGTATCTTTTTTAATTTTTTTAATATTTTTTTAATCGTTCCGGACTTGTCTGGTTAGAGCGGTTGAATTGACCGGTTTATTGGTTAGGCCAGTTAAATCGCTTCCAGGCCCATGTTCGGTTATCCATTCCGGTTCGATTTTGCGAACACTGGGAGTTCTAGAGATCATATCCGCAAAATTTGAGATTTAAAAGATATTCCTAGTGTAAGTTTTACTTGAGGGAATAGATGGATAGTATACTCCCGCAGGAGCTTTTGGCTTTAGTATTTCTCCCGAATAAATGTGAAGTCTGTAGTAAATAATAGCATATAGCCAAAGTTCAAATGGAAATTTCCAAATACTAAAGGGCAAGTATTTCACGATTACAAAACATACAAAGTCGATTTTTAGGGACATCTAAACTCACTCCTCTTTCAATACATACGCTAACATTTTCCCCCCCAAAAAAAAAAATCCAAATTCCAAAAGTTAATGGCATAAAAAATTGAAAGAAATGATATCTAGGTTTTAAATTTCTCGCCCCTTGAAACCCATGATTACTTGGTAAATCTTTGCCTAAAATCCTTCAATCGAATGCACAAAATCAACTGAACTTTTGGCCAAAGGATCCCCAAATATTATTGACATCTTTGAATTAAAAAAAAAGCTAGGAAATTGCCCATGCTTGTGGGCACTTTTTGGCCCTCGAGCTGGTTCTCGCATATGCAGGTAGATTAGGTTGCATGATGTGCCAGAATAAAGGGATGTGCCTGTGTATTCTGGCGCGTCATATTGAATGATCATTCCATCAGCGGGTGATGCAATGCATATGCGGGCGCATCATGATAGTCCATATGTGGGTATGTGTGGTGTGACTAAGGGCTCACGTGCTTTGGTTCTCCCGGATATAGAGGTGTGCAGCCGACCTTTGATGAATATGCCTTATGATTATTGGTACTTAGCTGGCAAGTTGCTTTGAATTTAGGAAGGATAGTGTATTGTTTATGTTTCCAGGAGAGTTGACAGAAGAGGGTTTTGATGATTTTGCAAGTTTTATTTGGTTGCGAGAGGGAGTTGGCATGTTGTTTTTGTTTAGAAAGTGTAACTTTCATATGGGAATTATTGGATGAGATTTTTAATGTGCTCATTTTGGTCCTTACGTTGTATATTTTTTTGGTTGATCAATGTTTTCTTTCCTCAATGCTTTGCCTGTACTTTTTGTTTTTTCTTTTCTCCCCCTATTTAGAAGTAGAGCAAGGTGCTTAGGCATGTGACTTTTTAGATGATAATATTTGATTGCTGGCATAATTGGTATCATTGACTGACTGATTTTATGTGTAAAATTATTTTTTTCTAACAATGCAGTGGCGATAACTTGTAATTTGTTTCCAGGGAGGGTTTGATGTCATATAAGCAGTTCATTCAAGAGCTTGAAGATGATATACTACCAGCTGAAGCTGAGCGGAGGTATGGTGAAACTAATAATTCCATTTATGAGACCTATGAAACATGAAAGGAAAATCTATTCAGACCACAGTGGTCACAAGTATGCATTTTAAATGGATCTGCCTCGTCATATAACTACATAACAAGTGTTTATATCGATGTGTCAGATATCAAGAGTACAGAACAGAATACATCACCACTCAGAAGCGGACATTTTTTGATGCTCATAAAGAGGAAGAATGGTACCACTTGTGGCTTTATTGTGATTGTTATTTCATGGTCTAAACTTGTCTTCTAATATACATCCATTGATTTTGCACATGGTTTTATTTTGTGTGCAGGCTTAAAGATAAGTATCATCCTACTAATTTGGTGACAGTTATTGAAAGGTGAGCTTATGGGGTCATGTGGCATATTCATCTTTATATAGGATAATTATTAGAGTTGTTCATTCTAGTCATTATTCTGATCATGGTTACTAAATGAAGCAATCCAATCTGTAAATTGTTTTGAAAGAGTAATTTATGAAAAAAAAAGAGTACATTTTAAAAGATTAAGCATGGCGTTTTAAAAATTTAATTATCAGAGCAAAAGTCAAGATTACTTCTCCCCCAAATCTTTTCCACATCACCTAGATTTGGTCTCGACCCTTTGTCCCAGGATGTCTCTCACTTCTTGATGTAGATTAAGAGATGAAGGATTCAAAATTTTTATTATTCTCAATTTGAGGGGATTTTATTAGTTATTTATTTTTTATGGGTCAATTTTAGGAATTTTTTTTATTTTAGGTGTTAGGGTTAATTTCTAGAATATTTAAGGTTTTTAGGAATTCTAGGGTTTTTTTTTTATATTTTAATTTACAATTCATTGGTTAATATTCATAGGAACTGTTCACATGTATTGTTCATGTTACTGTTCATGAGATTTCTGGAGTTTTAGTATTGCTTGGGGGTATTTTAGAGTCTTAAATGTCTACTTGGATCTGAAGTTAATTATAGGGTTTCATAGGCTTATAAAAGGTTAGATGTCACATTTTAGAAGGCTTAAGGTTAGATGTCACATTTTAAAAGGCTTGGCTTGATTTAGAGCTGTATTGTTTCACCATAATTGCTGACTTTACTTTTTTGAAGTTCCGCAAAAGGGTGGATTTATTTTCCCACCTTTCCGTCTTGCATCAAGAGGTATCATGATGCAGATCAAGAGATGGATGGTATTTCTATTCTTCTCAATTTGAGGGGACTTTATTATTTTTTTATTAGTCAATTTTTAAGAATTCATTTATTTTAGGGGGTAGTCTATTTTTAGTTTATATGTTTTCTTTACTATTCACTGGTTACTAGTCATAGGGATTGTTCACATATATTATAGGGGTATTTTTGGAATTCCAGTATTGTTTAGGGATATGTCAGAATTTTAAATGTTTACTTGGATAGTCTAAACTTGGATAGTCTAATAAGAGTGAGGATCTTAAACTTTCCCTTACCCCAACCCCAGGTGAAGGAGGTATGTTGCGTTAGGTAGATAGCCAGCGTAAAACTTGCCACTTCTTATCATGAATCCTTAGCCTCGATTTTGTCTTATTGAGGTACGACCCTTGATAGAGAAGAATGGAAGAACAAGATTCATGTAGCCGACCCTAAATAATTGGGATGAGGCTTGGGTGATGATGATGGTAAAATGTTTACTTGGATCTCAAGTTAATTTTAGGGTTTCATAGGCATATAAAAGGTTAGATATCACATTTTGGGAGACTTATATTATTGGAATGAATTTTATTTTATGAAAGAAGAAAGTTCTTCTTCTCTTGGCTTGATTTGCAACGTATTTTTTATCCATATTTTCTGATTTTACGTGTTCAAGGTTAAAAAAAAATGTGGAATTATTTTTCCACCTTTCCTTCTTGCATCAAGTGGTATCAGAGCTCAGTTTGAATACAATTAAAGATTGTGATGGTTGGTTGTGGAGTCTTAGCTGTAAGGATGCCAATTTGATCTTATTACGCAAGGAAATCAACAACTTGACAGAGAGGCTTACATGGTTGTTGCGCATGCGAGAACAACAACAACGTGCCCTAATTGAAGAGTAATCTACGGGAATAGATCAAAATCGTGAGGGTTTTTAATGGAAAATGGTGTGAATCAGAGTCTGACTCAGAGTGGGCGCACAATGATGGCGGTTGTGAGTTGGAAGCTGTCTTTGAGAACCCGTTCTATGCACGCATTCCACGACGGGAGCCACATGTTCGGGAGAGTGGATCGTGAGATTCCACATTAAAGTTGATCTACTTGAGCTTGATGAAGAACCGGTTGAAGGTGAAGAACAAGTATGTTTGGATCTTCAATTGGAGTCATCATTCTTTGATATCACGGGTGACCCATCGTTTATAAAGGTCTTATTTTTTTGAAGAACAAGATGAAATGAAAGAATTTGGCCTTGAGGCAGCAATGATATCTCATTTCCTCATCGATGGAGAGATGGAGAAGAAAGATATTGACTTGAACCCAGAGGAGCTCGAGCATATAGAGATTTTAGAGGAAGAAAGAAATATGTTGAGGAAGGACGGACAAAGCGAAATGCAACATGAGTTTTTTGAGATTCATCATCATCCAAACCTTATCCCAATTAATTGGGGTCGGCTATTCATGATAAATTGTGGCAAAATTTTATGCTGGCTGCCTACCTAATGCAACCCACCTCTTTTACCTGGGCTTGGGACAAGTTAAGGGAAGGTCCTCACCATTCTTAGTCCAATGAGGATTTTGAGAAAATTATCAAAAATTATAAGAAACGCATGGAGGTTGATGATGAAGATGTATCTTATTTCACTAACAAAAAGATCGATGATGAGCACGTATCCTATTGAGTAGTTGTGTATCTAGAGTTGGAAAAGTTTGAATATTGTTATACGGATCGTGACAAGGCGTTCAAGGTTGAAGAATATCATGGGTTTAAGGCAAGATTCATCCTAGCTCATTTCAAAACTCAATGGTAAGTTTTCTCCAAGGGAATGATGCAAATAAAGAGATGGATGGATTCAATATTGTTGTTCTTCTCAATTTTAAGGGGCTTAGTTATTTTTTTAATTTTTTATGGGTTATTTACAGGAATTTCATTTATTTTGTGGGTTAGGGTCTATTCTAAGGGTTTTATAGTTTTCTAGGGATTCTAGAGTTTTTTTATATTTTTATGTACTATTCACGGGTTATTATGCATAGGAACTGTTCACATTATTGTTCACGAGTTACTACTCATATGGGTATTTGTGGAATTTTAGTATATTTTGGGGATAATTTAGAGTCTTAAATATATACTTGGATCTCAAGTTAATAACTTTAAGGTTTCATAGGCTTATAAAATGTTAGATATGGGCATATGTTAGAAACAAGTCCTTCTTGTCATGGCTTGATTTACCGTCATGTTTTTTCTCCATAGTTGTCAATTTTACTTGTTTGAGGCTCAGGAAAAGTGTGAATATTTATTTTCCCACTTTTCCTTCCTGCATTACTTCTCCTTACTTTTCTCACCTCCAGTCATCCTAAGCCCTCTCTCATGTCCCTTCTCTCTCTTTACACCCTCTACACTTATTCTCTTGATATTGATGTGACACAATATATTTTCATTGGTAATGTGACCTGCACATGGACATACCTATTATAATTAGTAATTGACATATCCCTTGTTAAGAGGATTCTTTTAACTTTGGGATGAACAAATGCAGTGGTGCAGCTCTGTCTCTGTATTAGCGGAACATCTTGGCACATTCTCTCCTAGGGCACTTGCTTGTGAAGAGTTGGCTTGGAATTTGTTTTACTGCTAACCTAGCTACATTCCCCATTGTTGGTCTTTTCCTACTATTAATATCTGTTCTATTTTCAATGGTGCCAGGAGGAATGAGCACGCAAGATCGACCGCAAAAGAATTCTTGCTGGATCTACAAAATGGGACTTTGGATTTGTAAGTTGTCTTGTTACTGCCTTTTTTTTGTTACATCTGCATATTTCATTCAAATTTTCAACTTGATTACTGGACAGTCCTGTGTGTTCCGCATATATAGTTGCCCACAAAACCCTGTAGACTAGCGATTCTTCAGAATTTTTTAATGGAAAATTCATTTGTGAGGCAGACAACTAAGTCAAGAAAGTGTGGTACCGCTTCAGTTCTCCATATTTTCGATGATTGAGGACCCAAATATCTGGAATATCTATCCTCTTGATCCATAAAATCATGATCCTGGGAAAAGGTTTTGGACCTCTTGGATGGTCCATCTTAAATGCCATCTCAACCTGGATTTTGGAGTATCCATTTCAGTAGATCCTGGATCAGTCATATTTGCACCATTTTAGGAGCTTGCAATGCATTTCCTAGGGTGGAAATGGATTTGTAAGGGTTTAAAATGGTTTTTTAGGAGTGGCCTCATGGTGTTGGCATTTTTCTGGGGTCTCATGTTGACATTACACTTCATTAACATACTTTTCAGTAATTGTCTTCCCCTTATATGGTGCTCTCTTGTTGGTAAATTTATTTTTATTTATTTTTGTCAAATCTTGTTGGGAAATTAACAGATCCTATTTTATTTTTGGAGTAAAAATAGTCCCCTATATTTCATATTTTACGCTACATTCTTACTTTTATGGGAGCGCAAAGTTTATTCTCATGTTTTTTGCTATACATTGGATCAATCTCAAATTTGGCGTGTCCATATTTCTCACCATCACACATCTGAAAAAATAAAAAAATTGAAAGAAATAAAAATACCAAAATACCCCTGTATCTTTTATAGGTGATTGTGATTTTTTTTTGTATTATTATCTTTTTTATATTTTTACATGTGCGTGATGATGAGAATTATGGATGCCTTGAATTTGGGCATAATTTGGGGTTTTGAAAAAAAATTTAAAATACCACTATGCACTCTAAAAAATTGGGACTTGAGTGTGAATATGAAAATAGGGACTCTTTTTTTATTTCGAAACTAAATGGGATTTTTCTTTGTAAATTTTGCAAACTAATTTTAAATTTTCTTTTTGATTTATTGTTATTAACATTATGTTTTGAAGATTGAATTGCATCCTATTTTTCTTAATGTAACTTCTAGTGAAAAATTCCCTACTAATGAAATTTGATTGCCAACAAGACATAAGAAAACAAGGTAGGTGGTTATATATGATGCTTGCATAAAATCTTTATTGTGGCAACATCTGTTGGATCTATATCATTTCTTGATTAACAATTGGGAGGTACAGGTGTTAATGGCCTGCCTACTTTAAGATTAGAAGAATTCAACTTCACTGTTATTTCCCAAACAAATAATTATCTTATAAAAATTATATAAAAATATTTTTTATAGGTATATTCAACCAAACTCTGCTATTTGGGTTTTGGTTCCTGGAGAAAGACTTGAAAACTATTTGAGAGCCATGAAAAACCTTGTTCTGGATTTAATGAAGAACCTTGGAAAATGGAACCATTATGAACTATTGTTAGAACAGAAGGTGCACCATCCTATGTATGTTATATGGTAGATAACCAGGCCATCCATGATCCATACCTAGGTGAATGTCCATTGAGAAGTACAATCAGTCTCCTTGGTCCTTTGTTGAGGGACCACTATGTAGCTTAAAACATAAACAAGCTGTGCGTGCTTGTACCTTATAACATGCACAGCTTGTGTATGTTGTACTTCCCCATAAAAAGAAAAACAGGTCTCAAGATACGTACTTTGCATCTCATGTCTTTTTCTATTTTGATTTAAGGGGTCCAAGCATCAATCCAATGGCATCAAACAAAGCCGGGCAGGGTAGCGACCAAAACTCAGAGGATGAAGCAGACCCCACTGGAAAAAGGAGGAGACATGGCAGAGGCCCCACAAAAGAAAACGAGCTCTTTTCAGCTGCTCCCAAGGCCCACCCAATCGCCTCTGAGCCCAGAAGAATCCAATCCGACCTCGAAGAAGCCTTAGCCTTGTTGAGAAAACTAGACTTTGAGAAGGGCATTGAACCCCATCTTCTCTCCACTGCCGACCAAGAAAAACAAGAGGGGGAGAAACCACGTGGTGGGTCAATGGGCCCTATTGTGATAGTCAGAGGTGTATCCATTGTAAAAGGCCTAGAGGGGTTGGAGCTCTTGGACACAATTCTCACTTACCTATGGAGAGTTCATGGTGTAGACTACTATGGGATGAGTGAGACTAATGAGGCCAAGGGCCTTAGGCATGTGAGGGGAGAGAATAAGGGTCTTGAAGAAGGAAATGGAGGTGGCTTGGAGTGGGAAAAGAAGCTCGACTCATTTTGGCAGGGGAGGTTGCATGGTCAAGATCCATTGGAAGTGATGACTGCTAAGGATAAGATAGACGCAGCAGCTGTTGAGGCCCTGGATCCTTTGGTGAGAAAAATAAGGGATGAGAAGTATGGTTGGAAATATGGGTGTGGAGCTAAGGGGTGCACAAAGCTTTTTCATGCAGCTGAGTTCGTCCACAAGCATCTTAGGTTGAAGCATGCAGACCTGGTTTTGGAGCTCACCTCGAAAGTGCGGGAGGATCTCTACTTCCAGAACTACATGAGGTAACATTTCTTTTTTGTTGTTTTTTTGGAAAGTATACTATATAACCCAATGGTCTATGGAAAACCATAGCCATTGGGTCCAACAACATGTGATGGAGAGTGGCGACTGACATTGGGATCCTCTCTAGTTCTGGTGGTTCCCATTCTCTCATCATCATCATTTCATTGAAGGATGATTACCCCTCTTCAGGATGCTCTTTTGGACCCTCTCAGAATGCTCCTTTTTTTTTTGGTTATCCATGTGGTTGCATTGTTGAGGTTGGGTGTCTCTTTACCTTCCTGTTTTCTAAGTGAAAAAATAAAATGGAGATATTTGATGTTGGTTTTTGCTAATTATTTAGATCTCTACTTGTCTCAAATGTTTCTCAAAGATACATACAAATCTTTTGGTGATGCATAAGATGATGTTCCTCTAATTATATTTCAGATCTCTTCTTTGTCCTCAACTAGAATTAGGATTTGTGAGATGCTGATGCCATTTATTTTTGAATTTGTACCCTCTTTCTTTTGTGTTACAGTGATGCAAATGCTCCTGGTGGAACTCCTGTCATTCAGCAACCGGGACCGGTAAGATTATTGTCTGTAAAATAGACAATGATTACAGCATGAGCTTGTGAGCTTGCCCTTGGTTATCCATCTTTGGGATCAAGGCACGAATGAATGCTTATGCAGCCCAGAGGAAGGGAGGGAGGGAGGGCCCCAAAGCCTAAATGTGTGTAGAAGATGTGTAAATGAGAGAGAGAGAGAGAGAAAACACTGGAGGATGTGTGTAAAAGAGAGAGAGAGAGGGAGGGAGGGTGCATTGTATTGGCATGTGGGGACAAACATCCCTTGACCTCCTTCCCCAAACTCGGATGTCTAAGCTGATGCCTTGTGTGTGTGTGTGAGAGAGAGAGAGGGAACACTGGGTAAAAATATTCATCATTGTATCTTTCTTGAGAGAGAAACTCTGGGTTAAAAAGGCAAAAATATTCATCATTGTATATTCCTGGGTAGGTTTTTCATCGATGTGTCATACTGTGTTCCATTTTTTTTTCTCCAGAAGGACAGGCCTCCAAGGCGCCGACCAGGTCTGGATGTAAGTAGTCGTTTGAGAGATGATCGTGGAAGCAGGAGGGACCATGACAGGGCAGATAGGGCCAACATTGAAGAAAGATTTGACAGGAGTGAGAATTCACCATCTCGGGATCTCCAGCCTAATGCAGGGGGAGCTGAAGGTGCCAATCCAGATTCCCCTATGTTTGATGCTTATGGTGGTGGGCAGGGGATGCCTCCCTTTAGCTCTGATATGCCACCTCCTCCTCCTGTCTTAATGCCCGTTCCTGGTGCAGGGTAGGTATTCATGGGTTCAATTTTCTCACACTGCTAGTTGCCTTTGCTTTTTGTTTTTGTTTCATTATATGGTTATTCTGCATTTCTTTTTGTTGAACTATCATCACTATGGTTTCTCTCTTTGTGATTGTATTTTCTTGAACTATCATCGCTATGGTTTCTGTGTGTGTGTGTGTTTTTGTTGAACTATCATCCCTATGGTTTCTATCTTTGTGAGTGTGTTTTCTTGAAATATCATCTCAATGGTTTCTGTGTATGTGTGTGTGTGCATGAGAGAGAGAGAGAGAGAGAGAGAGAGAGAGAGAGAGAGAGACCTCTCTAAATATATTTTCGTTTGGTTTTCTTAAGGGCTTATGTTTCTGTGGGTTCTGTTTCAGACCATTGGGACCATTTGTTCCTGCTCCACCTGAAGTTGCCATGCGCATGTTGAGAGAGCAGGGTGGCCCTGGCCCTTATGAAGGCAATGGTGGTCCAAGAGGCAGGAAAGGCCGTCCAGGCCCTTCGGTTGGAGGCCCAGCTCCTATCATTGCTGTAAATCCGGCTTTTCGCCATGATCCTCGGCGTATGAGAAGGTAACTGCCCATTACAAAGAATAGTTATATATAGGGAAATTATATTAGGCTTCAGAGTTTAGGGTTTACAAAAGGAAATATTTATAACCGCGTTTTGACATTGATGGATGGCGATAGAGAGAGTGGGACCCACAAAGGCATGACAGTTGTGGTGCATTCTCCTGTCTGCATCACTTTCAATTGTTTTATGGATGCCGATGGCCCAATAATATATGGTTTTACATAATCCGTGCAATATACTGTACTTCCCATTATTTTTGTACACCTTTGTCTTGAGTTTTTCAAAAGCACGACGGTTTGTTGCCAAAATTGCCAAGATTTAATGCTTGGTTAAGTTGAATGATAATGCTCATCGTCTTGAAGTGTACCCTAGGAAGGCTTCCTCTATGAAATCCTTAACTTTGAGATTGCCATCAATATCTATTATAGGTAAGCTTGATATGCTTTTTCTACGTCTGATCCTTGGCCATTTGCGAGTTACGGGTTCATTCATTTTGGATGCTTGGATCCTGTGGGAGGATTTGAGTTAGGTTCTACAGTAGGTGTCAGTGATGACTCTTTTGTGGATTTATACTTTATACTTTCTCTAAGCTCTTGATGCTCAATTTCACTGGAGGGACTGGCTCATGAACTTGTAGTGGATGCATCTCTCTCTCTCTCTTTCTCTCAATATACCATCTTCTACATCTGATATATTTTTGTGCTATAATCTGCAGTTACCAGGACCTTGACGCACCCGAAGATGAAGTAACTGTTATAGACTACAGAAGCTTGTAATTGCTTTCTGCCCATTACTAAATGGAGCAGCTAAACCTAGTGAAAGGAAAACAAAATAGTGGGCTACTGAGGAGACTGCGTGTTCCCAACATGGACAATGCCATTGTTTTTCTAATGGGCAAATAATCGATGATTTCTCCATGGAGTTCGTGTTCTCTCTCAATCTTTTTGTAGCATAGATACAGCATGATACAGTACGCAGCTGCTTTACATAAATTGAATGTTGTGTTTGAGTTCCGTTTAAATTTTATTATTGAACATCTAATCTACCGCCAGCAATTTGGCAGTTGCCGAAGAGGAGCGATGAGATGCATGGCTGATGATGAATGGTGCCTCTCTCTCTCTCTCTCTCCCAGAAATTTTATCTCCTCTTAGAATTTTATTTTGTTTTTGGGAGTTGTATATTAATTATCGTATGGATTGTGGAGCAAAAAAAACAACCTTTCAAATTTTGTTCCTCTGGTGGTTGTCGTGTTTCATTGACATGATATTGCCGCTGAACTTTCATCTGTTTGAATGGGTGAGATGGAGATTCAATATTCTTGATGTATTTTAAGATGGAGAAGCAGCTTCCTGGGGTAAAAAATGATAATTTAGCATTGCCGCTTCTTTCTTGTAAGCGTAGTATTACGTTAATTATGTTGATTATGTTTGCTCTGCTTCTTCTTCTTCTACCTTTTTGTCTTTTTCTTTTTTCTTGCCTTCGTTCCAAATTTGTGTGGTTCTATTATTTCTAAATTTAGTATTTTTTTCACAATTTAATCCCTTTGAGGATAACTTGTTGATTTCTCTTTGAGATTAGCTGCTCGATTTCTTGAAGTCACTATCTTTATGAATATGATTCAATACGTAATGTTTTTCTGTATGGAAATAGGTTACTACAGTGATTTTACAACCCCAGCACACACGCCCCACCCCCACTTCTCTATCTGCACCGTAGGGGTACCAATGCTGAATAAAAGAAAAATGTGTAGGGCAGCATTACTAAGCGTCGTTGACAGTAGTGAGCATGATCTCGCTCTCTCTACAGTTCTGTTGCCAATGCCGAATAAAAGAAACATGTGGCATTTAGTGCAGCATTACTAAGCATATTTTACACTGATTAGCATGATCTCTCTCTCTCTCTCTCTCTCTCTATTACCTGCAGATAGTCCGTCTATTTTCTGCAGAAAGTCGAGTGCAGCATGAAAGTAGTGAAAAATGAGTTTCGTGGCTGTAAACAAATTGAAATGGGGTTGTATATGATTATACCGTTTTCATAGAGGTTATAAACACCCCTAGTCTGATGTAGAACTGGATGGCACGGTATCGTGTTATTCTTTTTTCAGATACTCGGAAATTTACTTGAGACTTCACGAAGTCGAGAGTATTCTCAGCTACATGTTTTCACATCTGTCAGTTTGGGATGATTGTGAATTTTTATTAAAACATAAAAAAATAATTAAAATTGGCATTATTTTTTTTCAAAATCAGCTGATAGTTCTTGCTTTGAATGTACTTCGGTGCATAACCTCAGAGTTAGTTCCCATGCTCCAAATCAAATTTCTCTTTTCAGGTCCAAACAAAAGTGACTTAATCATTGTCTGAAAACAATGTGCCTCGTTCGAGAGTTGGATCCTACTGACGTGAAAATTGAAAAACATTGGATGAGTTTATGGATGGGTTTTTACGAAGTCTATAGTTTTGTATAATGTTCCCCATTTTCATCAAAAGAGTTGGGTTTTGGAGGCCAAAAAAGCTTCATCTGAGTCGTAATTCCATGATGATACAAGATAGGTGCAATTTGAGTAAAAGCAGCCACCAACGAGCAATTATATGGATGTGGCTTCCAATTGAGTGACATGGTAGGGAAGGATCAGCCCTTACTCATGGGCAAACCAAGCCTCATGTGTGCAGTCTTAGTTGCCCTCTTCTCCTACATGGCTTGAAGCGGGTCTGTGAGTTAGTTTCAAGGGGTTATTGCAGGTGCAGATCCTGTAAGACCGGTACATATTTGATGCCAAAGAAAGGGTCTGATGCGAGGGCTTGACGAAAGGTTAACAGCTGGCGAGCAAATAGAGCTGAGAGCTTACCGTTTCATTCTATTAGAGTAGCGTGCTTGATGTAGTTAGAGAGAACATAATCTTTTATATAGACTGTTCATTTCAATGACACTTTGTTAGATTTACACACTATAGGAGCCCGAAATCCATTTTGTAAGTATGGAAATGGATTTATAGATGTCTGGGAGGGGTATTTAAGTTCTCAATCCATCAACAGCATGAATATTGACGGATTTCAGAGGGCAAAAATGAATCTGTAGGTGTTTTAAGAGGAGACTTGTGTTCTCAATCCATAAAAATCATGCAGATTGAGGGTGATCTGCACAAGGTTTTTTTATGAGACCAGCATTAAAATGGTCGCTTTTCAAGGAAAGGGAACTTTATCGTGAAGCACCCTAGAGATGAAACATTTAACATCTCATCATTTCCTTTGATTTATTTTCAAAAATCTCATCAAAGGACAGGTGAATCAAGAGTTAAAATGGTTGATATTTTATGTATAGATGAAGTTTCTATAAGGCCTAGGCTTTATGAAAAAAAAAAAAAAAACTCGCCTCAATTCCTGGTCTCAAAAGAACTTTTGGGAACAAAAATCTCCTTGATGATGCTTAAGTCGAGATGATTGATGCAAAGGTTTTCCAATGCTTGAATTACAATTTCAATGCGTTATTAGGTAAAGCTTTACTTATTTTGATAGGGCTGCAGCCATATCAAACCATTTTCCTTTATGTTTTGATATAGGGTGTGGTTTGTATAGAAGTTAGGCTCTAACCAATCAAATTCGAGCCTACCTTCAAATAGTGTTGAAAAATGTAATTTAAATACTACAAATATTTGTGATAGCCTTAAAATATATTTTCATCTTTATTTATAAACTTCAAAGCTTCAAAAATAGTGTAGATCGATAGATCTATAAAAACTTGAAAATATTGAAAAATTGACGGTTCAAAAATGTATTACAAAATACACAATTTTCAAAACTTGAAATCTATTTTTTTTCATGTCCATGCATCTTATGTCGAGATGATGAATTTGAAGATATTTGAGCATAAAAACAACCTCTTCTAGGAAAATTTTTGAAGTAGGCTCAAATTTGATTGTTTAGAGCCTCGGCTATGTATAAACTTTTCCCTTTGATATATCGGTGTGATGCTAATTATTAATATCTTAACTGTGTTTCGATAAATACCCTTTACAGCGAAGATATATAGGTCAATCTTTGGTTTGAAAGGCTCAATCTAGGAACCCCTGAAAGAAAGTGACACTGCATAGGTATAATTTCAGTTTTCTACAGTTGAACAGAGGTAATTGTTGAAAATCTGATGCCTTGGCTAAGCTGTAGAGATATCAATTTGACTAAGAGAGAGTAGAACCTTTGAACCTTGCTTTGTCCAAAGAAACCAAACCACCTGACCTACCCCACATTTTGTTATGTAATTACTGAAAATCCTTGGTTACATCGACAATTAGAGGCAACCAATGAAGTCAGCTTATCGAAATTCAGGGTCAGGAAACCATGAAAACAACAAATATGTTCACATATAAATTCCGGGTTAGGAAACCATGAATGCAACAAATATATTCACATATGGAACCAATAGAGTCGATCAGTGATTTAAAAAATGAATTGGTGACCCGGATTGGGCACCCCAAAATCCGGTCCGGATCAGTGAATCGACAGTCCCGCTACCTGTTTTATTATGCCAAAAAAACAGTGAAGCGGCAAAACAACACATGAAAAAAAGTGAACAAGCAAAAAACCAGTCCATATCAATGAATCGACGGTCCAGATCGCCATTTTATTGTAGAGAACTGTCGTTTTACTGAGCAGAACGGCCGGTTCTCTTCTATTCTTGGCCGTTTTCCTATATATAGCCAGAACCAAAATAAGGTGACTGATTATCAGGTCGGACTGACAATTCCGTATCAACCCAACATTTTTTAAATCACTGAAGGGCAATTATTATCACCAAGGCTAACATTGTAATCGGCAAAATTCATCAAAATACCTATAAGAGATGGAAGTATTTTAGGTTCTGCCCATCTGCAACTATTACAACTCAAAAACATGTTTTTTATGGGTATTTTGAAATTATATCAATAGATATGGGGATGGTGTTAAATTGTTATCCCTCATGTGTAATTTCAAAAATTTCTATTCTAAATATTTGTGGGGAGCAACTAAAAGTAGGGTGAGAAAATTAAAATCTATGAAAAAATTTAAATGTTTGAGGTGTTGATGAACTTAAAACAGTCTACGGTATCTCTATCTAAGATAAAAAGAATAAGTTAGAAGTAGAAATCCACTATGCAAAGGTGAAAGAAGCAAACTTACATTCATTCAATACACACGTCAGAAAATCAGACTGACAAAAAAATACGATCAAGTTATATTAGCCTCAATACAGGAACAAAAATCAACAAGCTCTAACAACTTCAATTCAACAAATATTACATGTGCTGCAATAAAAAATATCTTGGACAAAGAAATAAGAAAAGCCACCAAAAAAGTAAAGAGAAAATGTGCGTGTGTTTGTGTGTGTGTGTGAGAGAGAGGAGAGAGATTTTCACTGCAAGTATGAAGCACACCAATAAAACCCACTGGCGAACCTGTGGTTTCCCTCACTGAACTCCACTTTTTTTTTGAAAAATATTCCCTCACTGAACTCCATGTTCCCCTCCGAAATTTGTTTAAGAGAAACCCCGAGAGAGAGAGAGATTGATTTCCACTGCAAGTATCAAGCACACAGATAAAATCCACTCCCGAACCTGTGGTTTCCCTCACTGAACTCCACTTTCCCTTCTGAAATTTGTTTAAGAGAAACCCCCGAGAGTGTGCTCCCCTCAACCGAAAACTTAACCCTCGCCATAACCTCGGCCTCTTCTCCCTTATTCGCGTCTTGGTCAACCGGCATCTGAGCTCTTAACCGACCTGGAGGACCCTTTATTGAGACCTCTGAAACATTCCATCTTAGTTCTCTCTCTGATCTATTCAACAAAGCTTTAGGAGAAACCTTCAATAAAGCAGGATCAACTGGTAGTCTCAGTGTAAAAACCACATCTCTTAATGGGACAGTTAACTCTGGATTACCCACATATTGAATCATTACAGAGAGCAAAGTTCCAGTGTGACACTTAACCAGTCGAACCCTTAATGGTAATGGGATTAATCGAGGTTGCATAATATACTTCAAAACAGGAACTGGGTCATCAGCTGAATGAGTCCTTATGTGAAACATGCCATTATCAAGGCTGCTTATCACGGAACCCTGCATAATTGCCCTCTTAATCCTGTCGGTTCCATCAAGGCGAAATGAGATTTCAGTTTCTTTCCCATTTGAATCCTTAGTAGGTAGGGTTTTTAAGTAAACCACAGCATGTAAGCCCACTCTTGAAAGCACAGACTCCATAAATTCTGCATTGATCTCTTCTGAAATGTACAATTGAGGACCTTTAATTTCGTTTGTCTTACTCACCAGAAGGCTCTCAATAGGAGTAGATTTATCAGTGGAGCTTATAGTACTGGTCTTGGTACCTGATTGTAGCTCTTCGAGCCCACCCAGCCCTAGCTCAAGAGGCTTGGCTTTCTTGGTGGTGGTAATAAATTCTGAGGCATCCAAGCCCCCACCAAAAGCATCATCAAAACCTTCGAAAGCTTCAGATATTGTGGCCTCTTCATTACCAAATTCAATCCCACCATATTCACCTTCAAAACCCTCGACCCCAATAAAAGTAGGTTTGGCTGCACTAGCTGGAGGAAGGGTTGTGATCTCGAGCCCAGCAAGAGCTTTCGTAACATCTGATACCCCCTCTTTATCTTTCTTAAATCCACCTGCTAATTCATTGGTTTTGGCTACGGCATCACTAGCTGCAAATGGGTCTTGTTCAGCTTGAGTTTCAGCTTCTTTTTGTGGCTCTTGAGTTGTTGAATTTGAGCTCTGAGGAGCTGGAGCAAGAGTGATGGCTACCTCATTACCAGCTGCTAAAGTTTCAGAAGGCAATTCAAAACTGGTGTTTGTGAAAATCTCTACACTAGCTTGGCGCTCATTGTAATAGCCCTCGTATTGAGCCCAACTATCTGCCCCTCTCGATGATTTCTCTAAATCTAGCCCAGAGTGCACCATTTTAGCTATACTTTCTCCATGCATTGAGCTCAATATGCTCGCGAATCGAATACTGGTAACCCCCCTCAAAACTATATCCAAAGCCATGTAAATCTCTGAGTATTTTCGATGGAGTTTATCTGGGGTCACATCAACACCTCTACAAGCTGCTACTACAACACTAACCGCCTGGTTAACTATGCCTATGCATTCAAAGATATTGTTCATAGAGTCATCTCGGTCAGGAGTCGTTATACCAAGGACATAGACTCCATTAACAAGTCTATAAACTACTCGGTATTTGCTCTCTTTTCCTACTATAACTTGACCACTTGAAGCAGCAAGTGGGTCATCTCCTATGCCTGCATCTTGTTCATCAGAAGGTGCCGCCATTTTTCCAGAAGAGAAAGCGAGTCGGGTTTGTCTGAATGAAGCTAGGGCAATCAGAGCTCTTGCAGGAGGGAACCATTCTCGTGTTTGCAAGAGGATATCGGGGCCATTAACGGGTTGAATAGAAAGGGCTAAACAGGCCATGGTGACCAATAATTGTGAATGGTAACCACTAATGGCCAAGTTTGAGGAAAAAATGCTTTGTTTCCTAAACCCCCATTCCTTGACCAGAGATCATATGCATTTTTATTTTTCTCTTTTCTTTTGTGGAGATTTCCAATCTAGTTGGTTTGTAAGTGGGAGAGAATCGGAGATCGGATCTTGCAGGTTTCAGTGGTTTTTGGATCCTTTTTATCCCTTCTCTCCTGCAAAACTTGAATTTCGAATCTGGGAAGAAATGGGAGATGAAGTCTTCTAGTTTCTATGATTTTCAGGTTGTTTTGCTTCCTCTTCTGCACTATAAAACTTGGTTTTTAATCCAAATTATGAAGGACATGAACAAGGACTTAAAGGATTATTACTTTCTTGGACTTTGGGGTCTGCAGAAATAAAGCATAGCTTATGCCTCGGTATCAATTACTCAAACAGAAAATGGATACACCAATACTAATAGAAAATTTATAACACAAACAAATTCTCAGAAAAGATTCAAACCCTATCACCAGTTCCCCCTCTCTCTGTGATATTTAATTTGGTAAAAAATCAGGGTTTTGAATGTCATCAGAAATCAATTGGGCACTGATTTCTCTATTATGAATAGAGAAATCAACTGGTCTCACAAGATGCAGCAGGAAACTCGAGAAAAAAAATTTGAAAAGAAAAATTTCAGAAAGAAAAAACGGAGAGCCAAAAAATAGGCCAAAAAAATAAAAATTGCTTCCTTATGGATTTCGGGTAGAGAAATCAAACCCATTGGGAGGAAAAAATGGCGGATGAAGAAATGGAATAAATCTTTTCATGAAAACCAACAGATTCATACCTTTTTTTGTAAAAGAAACATCGACTTGTTTCAAATAAAATTCATACCTTTTCAGGAGAACAGTGGCTCCAAATAATAACAATGGATCTTGAGCGAATCCTTGAAGAAAATGGCAGAGATGAGCAGATTTGAGAAATTAGGGTTTTATCGCTCGTCTCTGCAATGGCGGACAATTGAGTGGAATCCGATCCAGAAAGGAAAGGCCGAGAGAATTTCACAGGGAAGAGAAGAGGGTTTTGAGGAGGAGAGGGCTCGAGCTCATATTCCTTTAACAATGGCGGAAGAGAGAGAGAGAGAGAGAGAGGGGTTAGAAATTGGAGCAGCAAACTAAGGCTTCCAACGCGTGTTATTGACAGAAAAGCCAAAAGATTTTATGCTCCAGAAGGAGGTTATTGTACATTTATGCCCTCGGGAAAAAACCCGATCTTGGTGCATATTGTTTTTTATTACATCGGCACAGAAATTGCTAGCTTTAAAATAAGAGTGTGGTTTTTATAAGGTTGCAACTTTAGCATGATGCTAAATTTTATCATAAATGTCTTGGGATGCCTTGCGACTCTATATTTATTTTTAATTATAGAATTTTAAACTCTAAAAATGATTCAAATCAAGTAGATATATAAACACATGAAAATATTAAAAATAGATGGTCTAAATAATGTGTTATAAGATATGATATTTCGCGGACTCGAAATCCTTTTTTTCTTTTCATATTAATACATTTTTGTTGTGATGATCAATTTGAGGGTTGCCCAACATCCAAAAAAAAACTTTTTATGATGGATTTTTGAAATGGATATTTAATTCTACATTTTAAAGTTGCAACCTTATATAAACTTTTTTTCTGCAGATGAATACATTGCTCATGAGTGATGATAAAGACATTAGTTATGGGGCATTTGGGAAAAATAATAAATAAATAAGCGAAAAAAAATTAAGTAAATATAAAACATCATTTGGGGATTTTTTTTTTTAGTTTTGCTATTTACCGTGAATATTAGCATGAATTTCAAAAAAGTAATTTACACCCATGTCCCTCGATTAAATTAATTTTATTAAAAAAATTCTTGAATTTTTTTTTGTGTTCATACTCTTTTTTCTATTTTTATTTTTCCAAAAAATGCCTTACTTCAAACTTTTAAGGTTCGAAGTGACCACAAATTTAGATTGATGTTTCAAGTGACTTTTTCTATAATAACTTTACACCTTCATGGTTGAAAATTAAGTGTTCTTAATGACTTCGGAACCTCAAGGTCTTAAGTCAAATCACTTTTTCTGACTTCAGAGTCTCACGGTTCAAAAATCAAGTATTGTCAAAATGACTTTGGATATTCAAGGTTCGTAAATCCTTTGGCATTTTGGATTTTGAAAGTTCGAAGTCAACACTTTTTTTTTTTAAGTCAAATAGTTTCTTACCTTAAACATCCGAATCCAAGACTTTGAGTCTTATATTCTGGATATTCAAAATAAGAAACTCAATATTGTCTTCTCACTTCGGATATTTAAGGTCCCAAGTAAGTGTACTTTAAACAAAGAAAAAAAAAAAAAATAGTATGAACATAAAAATATATATATTAAAATAAACCTAAAATTTCTAAAATTTAACAATTTTGCTAAGTATGGGTATTTTGAAATCTTTTTTACTCTTTTTTAGATCCATACATCTTGGGGATAAAATATCAATTTGAGGGTTTTTCAGCATTGAAACAACCCTTTCTAGCGATTTTTTAGGGTATATTTTATTTCAACAGTATAAGGTTGATACCTCATATATGCTACTCCCACATGAATACACTATCCACTTACACCCTTGGGTAAAACCTATTCAACCCCTGGATTAACCTCAATAAAAAAAAATCTAATTGTACTCTATATGCACTTGAAAAAAAAATATCTTGAGATTGAATAGAGGCAAACCCATTTTCAAATTGTGAGATCGTGTTTGAGAACTTAAATTTTTATTTTTTAAGAAAATAATCATCTAGTAATTCTTAAGCAATTTCCAAAATTTTAAATTAAAAAAATCCTCCCAAGTTACTGAGGGCAAAGAAGCATGGTATACATGCTCTACACTTTTTGCTTCAACATTTTCCAATTCATGATCATTGATTTGAAATTAAATCAAATGACATCGATAAAATATTAAATAGTTGGTTATTTATATGGAAAAGGTTTTTATAAGGGCAATGCTCTAAACAATCAAATTAATGAACACCTCAAAAACTCACTAAAGAAAGTTGTTTCGATATCCAAAAATCCTCAAATTGATCATCTCGACCTCAAGATGTACAAACATGATAAAAAGGGATTTCAAGTTTTCAAAAAAGTGCATCTTGTAATACATTTTTGGACCGTCAATTTCAAGTTTTTCAAGTGTTCATAGATCTGCTCCATTTATAATAGGGTGCGGTTTGTATAGAGTCGAGGCTCTAAACAATCAAAGTAAAGCGCACCTTCAAATAAGGTTGAGAAATGTGCTTTCAATACTGGAAATCTTTGTAATAGCCTTAAAATAAATTTTCATCTTTAATTATAAACTTTAAGGTTCCAAAAATAGTGTAGATCTAGTAGATTGATGAAAACTTGAAAATCTTGAAAATTGATGGTCCAAAAATGTGTTACAACAAGAAACACTATTTCCAAAACTTGAAATTTGTTTTTTTTTCTCATGTCCATACACCTTCATATCGAGATGATCAATTTGAGGATATTTACGGATCAAAACAATCTCTTTTAGTGAATTTTTTGATGTGGGCTCTACTTTGATTGTTTAGAGCCTCAACCCTATATAAAATTTTTCCTTAAAATTTTGAAAGCTTTTAAATTTTATAATTAGAAATGAAAAATATATTTTTAAGCTATTTCAACATTTGATGGTACCCCTTACTTTGACTGTTTAGGGCCTCGGCCTTATATAAACCACACCCGAATGAACAAAAAGTTGCTGACACTTTTTCAATAGCATGCCCACAATAAGGCATCAAACAGGCTTTAGACCAAACAAGAAAAAATGCTTGTAATTTGGAATTCTTTAAAGAGCATAACCTAATCACCTTAAAACACACAGATTAATGCATTGACAAAATACTGAAGTAAGATGATTAACTGATGGAGACTGGATACTCAATAGAAATTATGATGTTTGGTTCAACAATAACTAGTGTCACAAACCTGAGGAAGAGTCGAATTGGGATTTCTGATTCTGACATCGATTGAATGGCTTGTATTCCTATTAGGTATTTAACACACATAATTTAATGGGGTTCTTTATTATAATGAAAAAATGTCAAACAAAATATAGAAACAAGTGAAAAGTGAAAACATATAACATGGGTGTGATATATCTCGGAATTTTACAATTTAAACATGTTTTTCCAAAACTAATACCTATTGATGCAACATAGTAATCCCCCCACAATTCAAATCAATTTATAATCCTTAATCAGCCAATAACTCAAGTTCATTCAATGATTATATCTGTCCTTGTAATTAAATGAGTAGTAAAAAAAAAATGGAGAACAAACATGATAATGTGAGAGAGAGAGAGAGAAAAAGTTGAGGATTCCTCATATTGCTAAGAGTACATTATAAATGTAATTTAATCTGTACAAATAATCCTGAAATAGCAATGAATAGTTGAAAAATGATGCTTCAAAATAGTGGAGAAATGGGGCATAAAATACCTGATAGAGGCAGCAGTTTTAAAGATTATTCCTCCCAAGATGCTCCTCATTCTCTCTCACTGACCAATCAATAAAATGCAGAAGCACCCCCATCTTAGTACATATAATGCTTCTCATTATTATGGCAATTAAATGGTCATGAGGTTGTCACCGTCTAATCAATGCTTGGATAGTGATGGATGGGTAGAAAGTGGCAACCCTTGAACAGAATAGTGCTCGATGCTGCTCTCTCCATCACCGTTCATTTGACAAAATGATATTTATGGATGGATGAGTTTTGATAAAGGGTGGTTTATATAAGGTCTCAAAAAAACAAACAAATTAAGGTGCACCTCCAAACCTTGTCAAAAGTTGTACTTTCCACCTTGAAAAGCCCTATCATGGCCTAAAAATATTAATTATGGATTTTAAAGTTTTAAAAATGATGTAGATTTATATATACTTGAAAATCTTGAAAATTGATGGTTTAGATAATACGTTACAAGATGCACTATTTTTATGACTTGAAATATTTTTTTTTCTATTAAAATCAATACTTCTTGTTGTCGAGATGATCAAATGGAGGATTTTCTAGCATTTGAACAACTTTTTTTTGTGAGTTTTTGAGGTGGGTCTTATCTTTATAATATAAGGTTCACACCTTGTATAAACTTTTCCTTTTAGTAAATGTAATGTACTAATTGGTAATTTTGTACTTTAACATCATTTCTGGATCTTTCATATTGGTATTGTCTATTGAGAAACTAAAATAATTTTCCTAAATTTTGTCATTTTTGATAAATTTAGTGCATCACTCATTACTATTTTGATAAATTTCCTTTTAAACTTTTATCACTAGTATGCCCATGATATGAGCAAAAGGAGAGAGAGAGAGCGGACAATCAAGAGAGAGAACTTAAGTGTAACCCGAGGAAGTAGATTAATTCATCTTACAAGACTTTAAAGACTAAAGTAATTTGATTGTTTTTTTATAACTCGAAAGCAAAAAAAAAGTTTATGTAAGGTATCAACCTTATACTATTGAAATAAAGTGCACCTAAAAAATTCTATGATAGATAATATTTTGATGCTGTAAAATCCTCCGATTCATCATCTCGACCTCGAGATATCTTGAGATGTATGAATATGAAGAAATAAGGAATTTCAAGACCTAAAAATAATACATCTTGTAAAAAATTATCTAGGTGATATATTTTCAATACTTTCAAATGTTTATGGATATTTGTTTGTACCATTTTCAAAATTTAAAATTTTATAAGTGCGGATGAAAACAGATTTTCAAGTCATCATCAAATTTTCAATGCCAAAACTGTGCTTTCAACCAAAATTTAGAGGTTTGCTTCCTAGTTGATTACTTGTAAAGTACGAGAGGGTACTTTATATGAACCTTATTAAAAAAACAAAAAACAAAAAGCAAAAATATATTTTTTTAAAAAACAAGGCCTTGATTTTCTCTAGGCGCTTTGGAGGAACTTTCAGAAATTTGAATTCTTGACCTCCCTCATTCTTACCCAATGAATGGGTTAACTTGTTTGGGCGTTTTGAAAGACAAAAAATTTCCATAAATAGAGCAAAAAGGACCCTTGACTAGATGGATTCAACATGACCTCCCTCGTCCACATCAAAATACTTGGTTAGCTTTTTTCAGATCTTCGAAAGAAGAGTGTTGAGAGCAGTGTTTAAGGTTAGATTGAAATCGTTTTGGCAAAAACTGGAAAGTGTTTTAGCATGAATAGTTACTAAGTTTTTGTCTTTTTTTGAAAAAATTAAAAAATACCTCTAAACACAAATCAATTTTTTAAAATCCATTTTTTAATTAATTTTCATTTTCAATTTCATTTGAATGTGCTTGTTTAATCATGCTTTAAATATATCTTTCATATTTTTTTAGATTTTTTTATTTATTTTAACTTTTTTTTTTACCATCCGACAGTTGCCTCGTTAGGCCGGTTTACCGGTTACTCAGAGCCTGCCCTTGGTCGATTTCTTAAGCCGAGTTTTTTAACACTTTTCAAGAGAAAAAGAGAGCAAGCAGGTTTCAATCATTTTAGTGAGGGACGATGCTCATGTGGTTACTATTTACAATTCATGAGAGAGATTGATGTTAGTTTCATCATTTTAGAGAGTGGAGCGGCTCCGGTGAAGACTGAGGGTGGGTGAATACACTGAGAAATGACCCCATAAGATTTAGTATACCTCCTTATGGTATCATTTTTCACTTGGTTTTTTCAGATATTCAGAGAGACAATTGCATAGCGAGGGATTCTCATAAGGCCCCATTTGGGGTTTAAATGAGTGCATTTTCTTCCCCACTTTTTAGTGGTTCAGCTAATTTTGCAATTTCACTTAATTTTTAACAAGCGCATGATGAAGCCCCATCTTGTGCATGGCCAATAGAGATATGTTCCCTTACACCACCATCAAGTTATTACCTTTTATCATTTGTTTACGTTAGAAGTGATCATAAGCGGAAGATGAAGGAAAGATTTATGTGATATTTTGCTGAGAAAATACGATATTTTTTTTTTTAATAATAATCACCCTTTATAATTTTGGCAACAAGATTATTCACAGATGGTCTTATTACAAACAATAAAAATTTCAAAAATAAATAACACATCAATAAAATACATCTTAACTACTTGATACCATTCATACAACCTAATACTGTGCTTGAGAATATAAAATAAAAGAACAAACAAATAAAAGAAAAGATGACGGAGATTACCTCAACCGGGCTTTTTATACCCCACTACCGAATAACCACATCCAATGACGCAGGATCTGTGGTTTAGCTTCAATATCGAACTGGAATGCTGATTTCAGCTAAATTAGATAACCACCCATTAAAATCTCTACAAAATCCTAACTTCAAAATAATTAAGCTTAAACCTTAATTTTTCCAACCCCTTAGATTAGATCATGAGAGAGAGTATCTATGTTGAAGGTCTTTTGAGGAGAAAGAGAGAGAGAGAGAGAGTAGAGAGAGAAAATTAGATTAGATCGTGAGAGAGAGAGAGAGTACTTATATTGGGGCATGCCCCCTAATGTATTTTTAAGAGAGAGAGTAAAAAGAGAAAATAAGAGAGTATATAGCGGGATATGACCCTTAAAGAGGAAAGAGAGAGAGAGAGAGGTGTATAGAGATTGGAAGGAAAACAACCCTATTTATAGTGGATATTTAAGTTTAAGATTTTCCCATAATTTGTCTCTTTCATGAAATTGAACCGTCGATCAAGGTGACTTGTGGGGTGAGAAATCTGAACCATCTATTCTATAAATGGGCCATCAACATTATGGAATGTGCTTAGAACCATTATCCCCCCTTCTTTAAACCATTTTCCCATCAATATATTTAAATAAAATAAATATCTTGCATTCCATAAAATTGCATGATCCATGTCACATATTCCATAAATATATATCAAATATTATCAAGTAAATAAATACTACCAAATAAGATAAGGTCAATATTTCCCTTTCAAAATTTGACCACATGCAACAAATCAAAAGTACTATATTTAACAAACTTGTACACAAAGCAACAAGAGAATCCAAGGGTTGGGGCGTGCCACCCTTTTGGGGCACATGTAGGCCCCCACCCACATGCCATATGGTAGGCTCATGTGCACTTTGAGCCCTCATGAAATTTTATAAAAATTTTAAAATTAAATAAAACGAATTAATATATATTTGAATTTTTACAACTTTGTAAAATCAATAACTATATTTTTATAAGTCCAAAAATTATAATTAAAATATTGAAAGATTCATAAATATTCAAATAATAAAACTAAAATCATTTCAATAATAAAATGAACAAAATTAAATTAATATAATGAAAAAAAGATCCGTATGGTTTTAGCAATTTAATCTGTAATAATGGAGTACTCCACCTTCAACTATGGACTACAGACCACACTAGCTTTATCGAACCAACCCAGTGTTTTCCATGACCTACAGTCCAAGCAAAAATTCATTAACGAATCACCAAAGTTAAGTCGACAAATCAAAGGGTCGCAATCTCAATATGTGGATTACAGGTCTTTCCCTGGAGACGAGTCAAGGCCATGACCTTATGCGACCACAGCTCTATGACGCGTAAAGGTATATCTCGCACATGTATCCGCTTCACTCAAAAATGGATATCTGGTTTTTCCGAACGATCTATGAATATGCATGCCGTGTGATGAAACATGAATGAAGTTTTGGCCCCCATCTCAGTAAGCCTATCATCACACACCAGGGTCATACAATCCTTCGATTCTCTCATCTAAGCGTAAACTCCGACCTCATCAAGGGCTAACCCAAAACCCTCATCGATTAATTCTTTATACCTAGGTACATTGGGTTTTCCAACCAACTGGCCTAGATCGATAAACACAGTCTGGTATAAACAAACATCATTCGTTTAGTATGGTCATCGAGGGACCACACTCCTCCTGAGTTTACGTTTCACTATAATAAAAGAATTTCAATACACGCTCATAAGGCTTTTAAAGGCCACATAAACCCAACAAAAGAAAACATAATCGGTGAGAACTCGAAAGGGTCCCAAGTCCAAGTCGTGTCTGTCATAGACTTAGCTGGGTTTGTCCAAAAATATAATAAAACATTGAGAACCGGTAAATTCTCCAGTTCCCATGTGCATGTTAGGTTCCTAGTTAGCACTGCTCAAAACTCTTGCCAAGATAACTTCTTCTGTGTTGTAAACTACGTCGTGTCTATTCCTCATCACAAACCTAAAACCCAACCAAGCAATGTGCTATTGCAACCATCTCCTTCTTGTGTGCTGAGTACCTCCATTCCCTGTTGTTGAGCTTATGGCTCTCATAAGCAACTGTCCTTCAAGGACCAATACAATCGCATAATCTGATCTATGTGCACCTCAAACGACACGTGGTAGTCCAAGCATAGTGCGCCTGTCCCCAGCTCAGCGGGGTGGACCCACCTGAGTTTTCAAAAACCAGCTATGATCAACCATGGAAATTCAGATTAATCACTATAGCAAATTAACACTTTGCAAGGATTTTCTTCCAGTCAATTAAAAACAGATCTTGCCTGGTCTAATTAGGTCCCCCATTTGCCGAGGGAAAAGCAACAGAGTGGTTTTAATAAAATTAGCTAAGGCCAATTTCCACGGCATTTCCACATCTGATCAAGCCAAGAAAACAATTAAATTGATCTACCACATGACAGTTTTCCGAAGCAAGGTTGGCATACAACAGCTTTCATGGCACATTAATGGCCGATAAAAAGAAGTGAATACAATTTACCAAAAAAAGAGGAAAAAAAGGAGAGAAAGCAATACAAGACCATTATAATATGCCAAAAAACTCCAGCTCCTGGGGAAGACTATATCGCAGAATTATTGCCAAAGTCTGGAGATGTAGCCTCTCTTTACATGGATGCATTGGCTCCAAAAGGATTGATGAATTGCAAGAAAAGTGAACATTTTCCACGGCTGCTACTCTGCTGAATCTGAACTTCTTTCTCCTTCATCTCCTATAATAGATGTTAAGGAACAAATTAATATTTTTCAGTATTTTCTTTATTTTTTGAAGAAAAACATATATTCATTAGAGAAGTATATATAAATGAATTAAAGTATAAGGCATGTATAAGTAGAGTATACAATAGGGAAGGCGGCTCTCCTCAAATAGTGAACCCTGGCTCCTAGAATGGAACTCTATCAAAATTTGGTTCTAAATCATTGCACAAACCCATAGCATCTAAAGCATAACCTCAAGATTGGAACCTTAATGGTGGATGCTTTTGGTAAGCTTTGAAACCCTAAAAATTATGAGCAGTTAAGCACAGGTCTAGAGATAGCTCTAGGGGCAAAGGAGTAGGAGTATCTAATGAAAGGGCTGTAGCAATATTCAATCATCATCATAGCCTTTTTCCAATTAATTGGGATCGGCTACAGGAATCCTGGTCCGCCATTCAGCTCTATTAAAGATCATACCCTCAATATAACAATATTCAATCTAAATCGTAAATAAGGCAACAGTTTCTTGGCAATTGATCAGGAGCGTAAAAACATGGAAGCTTTTATAATAACTGAATAACTTAGAAACATTGAAAAGCAGTAAAAAAAATGAACCCCATCAAAGAATACAAGAAAAATATCCATGATGACAATTCAAAGAAATAAACAAAGGTAATAATTATCAAAGAATGCATTAATATTTAAAGGCAATGAAAAATCGATACACTCGAAGGAGGATGACATTAGCAGACAAGTCAAGATATTCAGTGGGTATGCCACCTCAGACTTCATTATAACTAGGAAATCCTTCCTAGAACCTAGAGAACGACCATTACAAGGTCAACCCCACAGCCAGCCACCATCAAACTCAGTGTTGATGAGTATTCCCTCCTACTCCTGGTAGGGCAGGGGTCGGTGGCATCTTTAGGGATAGTACTAGCACCACAATCTTGTCATTTTTGGGACTCGTCAGCATCACTAGTTCATCGGAGACCGACGCATCTGCCGTGTTACGAGGACCCAAATTATTTGACAGAAGATGGGGCAACTCATTAATGGTCAAAAGGAACTCTAAAAACACCAACTGGGCTAACAAGAAATCTATTGCCTGTGGAGACTCGATCAAATGCTTGAGGCAATTCTCGCGCTGAGTGCACCACTCAATATCTCATTTCAGGATGTTTGGCATGAAGCCCAATAGCATTGCTAATGGCCTGGCGAAACAGGGACTATTGCCAATACACTTTCTCAATCACCCATGGGAGGTGAGTCCAAAAAATAATTTTATACAGACTTTTTGATGTTCTGCATTTTTTGAGACAGCATATTTGTTTTGGAATTTGGGGGGTTGAGCTTCCCTTTTTGTACCCTCCATATGGTCATGCATATATGTCTAATATCTCGTTTTGATTTGATTTTAACACAAGACAGTCAAGTTCATCGAAAAATAAAAGAGAAAAATAAAGAGAGGTCATAAGACATGGCAGCAAGTTTGGATTTCCCTGCAAAAGTTGAATTTCCGGTTACTTCTCTAACTTAAGGTCTGCAAAAAACAAAGGGAACAAAAACAGAATGAAGGCACTTTGGGTGTGTTATTGGAAATTAATTTTTTAGAATTTCAAAACTGAGTATCAGTATTAAAAGTGAGGAGTCCTAAATTCATATATCACTGTATAATATAAACCTTTACTCTGAGTGTAAAAACTGATTGCCATGACTTCTTTCCAGTATGATTTCTACTCTAAACAGAAAGTTTACACATATCCAAATCATAAAGTGATAAGGAGGGGCTCTGTCTCATGGAGATAAGAGTAATAAATCCCAATTGCCTTCATATGAACCTCATAATGCAATATTGATTATTATATCAAATAATGCGACATTCTATCGCACAAGAAACTGTCACTGTGCGCCCTATGTGCGTATGGGCCAGCTCACGAGTGTGTGTGCGATAGATAGAGAGAGATGTGCGTGTGGGTGTGAGAGAGAAAGAGAGTTCTACCATTTTAGAAACTTACTGTGTGTGAGAGAGAGAAAGATCGTGTGAGCGTGTGTGAGATCGTGTTTTTGTGTGTGCGCGCGAGAGAGAAAGAGAGAGATCATTCTAGAAACTGACAGTATGGATGTCTGTGTGTGTGTGTGTGTGTGTGTGTGTGAGAGAGAGAGGTGTATTAACCCACCGAAACCAAAGGTGTGCGAATGGGTGCATGAGAAATACAGAGAATTCGGACTCCTAAACACAAGGTCTGAGAGTGTTTATATGAGAGAGAAGGAATGAGAGAGGTATCATTCCTTCATTCTATCATATCAGAAAGTAAGAGAGATATCAAACTCACCACCCGCTTCTCCTTCTTCCTCCTCTCCATCATCATCATCATCATCATTTGGAGCCTCAATCCCATACATCTCATTCAAGTAATCCACCGCTGACTGCGTAAAAACCAGCTTCTCGGCATTCAAAATATCAAACAAATTCAGAGTCCTTGGCGTCAAGATTTTCACAGTCCCGATGTTTCGGCTGGACAGTATCACATTCTCGGAAACCTCTGTGCAGAAAACCATACAATTCTCTTTAGGGTTTACGCCCCACCTCTTCAAAGCCCCTACAAACTCCGAAGTCTTTGGCTTCTCAAATTTCTCATTGAATTCCTCAACCACCACTGTGTTAACACTGGCGCTGAGAATCGCAGTCGAAATTGCCAGCCTCTTCTCCTTTCTATTGATTTTAATGGACCAGTCCTTAGGCTTAGGCCCAAAGACAACACCTCCTCCAGGCCTCAGTGGAGTTCTCAGAGAGCCCCTTCGAGCTCGGCCAGTTTTCTTCTGGGGGTAGGGCTTTTTGCCCCCTCCTCTCACTTCGCCTCTGGTTAGCGTTGAAGCCGTCCCTCTCCTCTGGTTTTGCTGATCAGTGATTATGGCCCTGTGAACAACTGCCCTCGCTGTTTCGGTGGGGGCGGATTTGAGGTTTAGGGTTAGGGTTTTGCCTGTGTTTTCGCCATCGAAGGTGAGAACTGGAAGGGTGGAAAGCTCTGAGACGATGGGTTTGGGGTTTGGAGGGTTAGAGAGAGAGAGGTGAGGGATTGAGGACGTAGAGAGAGAGAGGGTTTTACAAAGTGGGTTAGAGTGAGAAAATAGGGAGGAGGAGAAGAAGGAGAGGGACGGGGTTGAGAGGGAAACCGCCATTGATGGGGATGAGAGAGGAAGTGAGGTAGAGTTGAGAGAGAGAGAGAGAGAGAGAGGGGAGAGGGTTTCAGAGCGGGAAGAGTGATTTGGCCATTTATTCTTTATCCAAAAATTTTGCAGAAATGGGGGTTATCAATTTTTCCGTAATGACGAAAGTATCATTTATTTATTATAAGAAGTAATAGTGTGCATCTTAAAAATCATTAGAGAAGTTTTTTTTTTTTTCTTTTAATAAAGTTAACCTGATTAGAGAAGTAGTTATAAATGGGAAAACTTTCCAACCAATCGTCTTGTCCTCAATATATCAAAAAATAACATAAATTTTAAAATAATGCTTATAACTCATTATTTTGATCGGTTATTTTTAAATTATTTATTAATTTACTTGATTTATACTATTTTAGAATTCTAAATTTGATAATTAGAGTTGACGATGAATTTTTAAGCTATCATAAAGTTTCCAGCACTGGAATTACATCTTCTTGTAAAATTTAGAAGTACACCTTCCTTATATAGTATAAAGTGTGGGCCTTAAACAAATCTTACTCGAAAGAAAGGTAATGAAAAGGAGGTGTTCGAACGTTTAGAAACGAGGTGCACCTAAAAAATGCAAAGATATAAAGAAAAAAAAGATCTTTAAGAATAATCTTATAACAAGTTTTATGAACTGTTTATTGTCAAAGTTTTGAGGTGTTTATAGATATGCTCGATTTATATGATTTTTAAAATCTTTTATATCATAACTGGAGGTGAAAATAGCTTTTCAAACCATCTAAAGTTTTTGACACCTGAAGATCATCTCTAGGCATAATTTAGAAGTGCATCTTAATAAAGAGGAGGCCATATATAAACCTCATTCATGTTTAGAATCACTTACTTTTTCCTTACAAAAAAAAATCATAATTATTCTTACCCATAAGATGTGAAATCAAGTGGCCACCAGAATGCTAAGGTTCAAAATTTTCTTGTAATATTGGAATATGAACATTTCAAATTTACTTTCTCTCTCTAATATTTAATTTTCAAATTTTCCTTCAATTGGCAATTTGTATTTTCCATTTTCTCCAAAATTTCTTATAAATTTGGATTATAAGCATGCCAAAAGATTTCATACTCCTGCGGAAGTACATTGTCTATTTACTCCCTCCAGCAAAACTCACACTAGAAATATTGTTTAAATCCCAAATTCCGGGCATATAATCTCTAGAACCCGGTGGCCAACCGCAAAAGGAAAAAAAAAAAAATTACTTTGTACTTGCCTAAAAAAATAACATCCCAAGATTTTACAACTAATTTTTGGAGGGAAAGATTTAGATGTTCAGAACTCAAAATTCAATATTTTTTTTGGAAATAATCATCTAGGGGTACTTAGTTTCCAAAATTTTAAATAAAAAAATTATCCTAATTAGCTATTTCACCCAAGGGATACAGTATTGCTCAACTCTATAAACATTTTGAGATTTACCATGAGTCTCTTTTAAATAGTTGGCCAGTATATGTTTTTCAATTCTTCCCTCAATATTTTGATGCATTTTCCAATTTCTCCAAATTTACCTACGATTTTGGTTATAAAGATCTCCCTCTCTCTCCTCTCTGTCTCTCATAATGAATTTTTAAAGCTAAATTCCCCTAACCTTCCACTTCAAGAAGAAATCACCCGATATATCTGGTTTCCAATGTCATGTTTTTCCCGTTCTCTTTTATTCTTTCTGAAACTGTTAGGTCGATTATCTTTTTTTTTAAAAAAAAAAATATTGTTTAGTAAATTTTCAACCAAATTTATCAAAATATTTGTATGGAGATCAAAATTTCAGGGGAATTTGCCCCAAATATTCAGTCTCAGCCTCTGTCAATGAAAGTAAATGACAGCCATCTTTTCAAATTTTAAGAGCAACTATGTTGTTGGGTAAATCTCTAAGATGTATCATGGTTTCAAAAGCAGCTGAGCACAATGTAGAGAGAGAGAGAGAGAGAGAGAGAGAGAGATTAATAATTCATCTCAAACTGGCCGCCACTGATGAAAGAGTCTAAAAGCCCATCTTAAACTGGCTCCCATAGATGAATCGCGTGAGAAAGAGAGTAAAAGTTCCATCTTAAACTGGCACCATAGATGAATCTTATTCCAATTCATTCCTTTATTTTCAACCCACATAATACTTGAGCAATAAAAATTATACAGTTGAGATCAATAGACATCAATAAACAAATCATGGTGGCCTTGACTTCACCTTACTGACCCAACCAAGGTCTCTTGTGACCAGTAAGCGAACCGTATTAACGAGCTCTTCTTTCACCATAAACAACACAGCAGCAGCAAGCACGCTCTGCACAATCTTTGTGCTCATCCCTTTGTAAAAACCAGCAACTCCTTCGCAGTGTATCATTTTTACAATTGCATCAAAAGTACCTGAAACCAAAATAACCTATATGCTCAGGGGTGAGAGCTAATTTTTTGTTAACATTCAAAGAAAGAGAGAGAGAGAGTCTCTTTCTATGCAAAAGAGAGAGAGCTAATGATCTGTGTAACTGAGAAAGAGCCAATGATGTGCGTGTGTAAGAGAGAGAGATCAACAGCCCTGCATAGTCGATCCGGTGTGGGTCACCACTTTCCTCTCTTGGCCATATTGCACAATCCACTTTCCTCTCTTGGCCATATTGCACAATCTGCAGTCCCTCTATTGGCAATTTTTATACCTCCCACACAGACTCTTAGCCATTTTGTTTAGGCCCGAAGTTTACTAGTCTCCTGGTAGGCCAGAGACTTTTTCTTTCTTTTGTACACACGGTTGAAAGTGAATGTAACACACTTTCATATAAATAAGGTTTTGATTAGATGGATTTTGGATTTGATATTTAAGGGCTAAGGAATCTTATCCATGCTTAATATGAAAAATATAAATTTTAAAACGGTAATTTTTTATTTTTTTAACACTGTCCATTTTATCTTTTGGTAGGGCGGCCATTTTGGAAATCCATCTTGAGGATGGGTGTTTGATGCTTTCGGGGACACAGTCGATGAACTGCATCCTCTGATGCATCGAATACTTTTCCTTTTTATGTTAGTATTATATCATACAGTCAAGTTTAAAAAAAGAAAAAGAAAAAAAGTGAGCTAATGATCTGTGTGTGTCTGTGTGAGTGAGAGATAGCAAATGGTGTGTGTGTGTGAGGGAGGGAGGGAAGGAGGGAGGGTTCTCTCATAGTAAACCTGCATAATTCTGCATCTTGTCGCCACCCTTCACTTGTTTTGCTTGGAGCCTTGACTGCACATGTAAATAACCAATGAAAACCAGAGACTTCACATGCCAGACTTACACTACTCGCAGGTCATAGCATTTTAAGTTCTGTATTCTCCATTGAAGGCTTTGACTAGGATGAGTCTCTATTCAAGGTTTTGGACCCAGAACACCTTTGTTGAAATGGGTTTCTCCTCACAAAAACAAACATCCAATGTAGATCTCAACAGAATGTAATGTAGATCGAGGGGATGTAGCAATAGCCAGCCGCCCCTGACCCGGTTAGCTCTGCCTTAAAACACCTAAGGCCTAGGCAAAAAAATATGGCTCGAGAGCCAGGTCACCACGTCCCAAGAGCCGGACCAGGGCCTATTCCACTGTCAGGCCAGCTTCCCTCCCCCCCCCCCCTTTTTTTTTAAAAAAAACTATTAGGTTTAGGCCAGGCCCTGCCCTAAGTGGACCAGGGCTCCTTCAGCTCAGTCCAGGCTGACCTCTGGCCAAGGCAAAACCTGCATGTTGCCAGCTCTACAAGGAGACTGTTTTTTCATGCAAAAAGGAGGTCTCTCTCTCCCTCTCTCACACACACACAAAACGTGTTTTTCATTAATATTTGTGCATTCAAATACATTTCTATATTGCTTGATTTCACCCTTCATGGGCAAACAAATTGGTTTCACCCAAGTCGCAAAGTCAACTTAAAGGCACATTGTCTCCAAATCATGTATGTAAGTGTTACAAACCCAGCCCGAGTTATACTGCCCAACTCATCCATGTCTCTATTAAAAAAATACATGAAATCTTAGGACTCAGGTCAGACTGGCCAGATATTTGGGTTAGTCCCAGCACCTTGCAGGGTTCAAGAGAGTAAGTGATTTTATGATTACTGATACAGACACAGACACAGAATTATATTTTTGTAATAGCGTTCAGCTTCAATTTTATCAAGTTCTTCCAATTTTTTACCCCAATAGTTAACATGCTGCTCAGGCAATAAGTAATTACCTTCACGACAAGAAGAGGATATGTTAAAACTGTTGCTCCAAGTTTCGCAATAGCTCCAAGGAGGAAAATCTGGTCACACAAGAATAACATTGAGATCTTTCTATTTTAATAATAGGTTTGGAATCTTAACCGTATTTCTAAAAGATCCCTCCCTCCCTCTCTCTCTCTCTCTCTCTCTCTCTCTCTCTCTCTCTCTCTCTCTACTCTCTACTACTACTACTACTACTACTACACTACCTACTACTACTAACCTACTACTACTACTACCTACTACCTACTACTACTACACTACTAC